ATATATATATATAAGTTAAAGTTTGAAACAATATTTCAAATGCTATATATGTATTTAGGGCGATACTATATTAAAATGTTATGGGATTTTTTATTTTATTTTATATAAAAAACAACTTTAAAAAATTTTGAGAAACAATTTCTAATTGATGGGTTTAGTACAATACAAAAATTTATAGAGAAAATTTCATAGATACCACAAAATTCCTTTGTATTTGCATATATGACACCAAAAGTTTATTATTTACACTTATTCCAATTTGTTGTCATAAACATATGCTTGAAAAATGTGTATTTCACTTTAAAAAAGATATTGACAGTGCTATTTTTTATGTAATATTAAACATTTGAGTAGTATTCATGTAAATATATATATGTTTAGGTGTTGGAAACTAAATACATAAGAATTGTGTGACATGTATGTAAATGTCTTAATTCTTTTTCTTTTTCTTTTCTTTTTTAGCCACTTGGTATTTTAGTCATTACACTTCTCTATGGATTAAGCATAAGAGTAGCTCTTCTTCTTTTTGAAAAAAATTATCTCAAGTGGCTTAAATCACTTATAACAATCATCTTCTTTTCGTTGGTTGAATGATTTTTCTCTTTTTGAGAAGTTTAGTAATATTGTTTTCTATTGGTTTAATCTTCCTCCTTCCACTAAAGTAGGTGAAGTTTTTAATAATAAATGAGATATTTTTACCTCTTCTAATATTCATGATTTTAGTTTATATATCTACTCTTGATATTCCTATTAATAATAGTTTTGCTTCCTGTCTTCGAAAGGGTTAGGATAAATGTACTCAATTATAATTTTTTCTTTGATAGATTTTCTATTGTTGGTCGGAATAATCATGTATAGTTTAAATTTTACTCTATTAGACATGCTAATATTACGAGAAAAATTTTACATAATCGTCTCAAAACAGTGATGCCTTGATTGCTAGAGGTATTATGATTAATAATTATTGATTTTTATGCCTTAATCATAATGAAACTCATAACCATATTTTCTTTGAATGTAGTTCTGGCCATTCTTTATAAAAAAAGATGTATTCTTTATTGAATTAACTTATTTTAAGGTACAATTTGTTGAATTCTTTATCTTATTGCTTATTATATTTGGAAGGAGAGGAAATATAAAACTTTTAATAATTTTTTTTATTATTTAGATAATATGATTTTTAATATTCACGAGATCACTAAGTGGAAGAGTAAAAGATGAAAGTTTGAAGATGATATTCCTTCTTATATTAAGGAGGTTTATTTTATTTAATTTTGTTGTTTATTTTAGATGCTATGATTTTCTTCTCTTCCATTCTTTTCCTTGCCTTTTTCAGGCATTTGTGGTTGTTCTTGTTAGTTTTTCTTTCCTTTTTCTATTTTATATCTAGCATTTTGTTTATTATGTTTTTTTTTTACTTTATTTGTTTTGTTACTACTGTTATTTAGATATGTTCTACTTTTATTCTTTTCCTTTATATTGAGTTTAGATTGAGCTTTGATGCTTTCTAACCGCTTATTAAAAATAATTGCATTTAAATGTTTATGGTATTTTGATTTTAGATATTTAATATACTTTAAAGGAATTTTAATTTTTTTTTCTCTCGGGTAAATTTCCAAGCTCTGTTTTGCTCTTCTCATTGTTGTTTTTCTATGTTATTATTTTTGGTCATTTCCTTTGTTTTTTATTGTTCTTCTCAATGGCCCTTTTTTTGTTTACGACTTCTATTGTTGGTTGCTTTCAATTTTATTGTTGTGATCTTCTAATGTTGCTTTTGAGCTTGGATTGTTCTTATCTGATTTGTGATTGTTTGCTTTTAATTGTTTTTATTTGGTTTTCTTTGTTTTTTGTACTGGTTAGCTCTGATTTCATATTTTTGCACTTCTCTATTGTTGGATACTTTGCTATTTTCCAGAGATTTTGCTTAATTCGTTATTCTTTGGTTCTTTGTACATTTTATTAATATTATGATTAATAATCTTTGTTCTTTGTTTTTGTGGCTGTTTTTATTGGTGTTAGCTTTTGCCATTTATTAAATTCATCCATATTTTTAATGTTTAAGATATTTTTATTTTATATATTCATTCCACTTGAATGAAATTTTAATACTTTTCCCTTAGACAAGTTTTTGAGCTCCTATTTGGTCTTCTCATTATCGTTTTCTTGTTTTATATTGTTTGGTCCTTTCCTTTCTTTTATGTTATTCTTCTCATTGGGTCTTTTATTCGTTTCATGCTTATGTTGTTGGTCATTTTCTATTATGGTGTCGTGATCTTCTAGTGTTGGTTTTAGGTTTGGATTGTTCTTTAATGATTTGTGGGATTTGCTTTTGTTCGTTTTGATTTAGTTCCATTTATTTCTTGTGATGGTTACACTTCTCTATTGTCGGTTGCTTTGTTGTTTTGTGGATATTTTCTTAATCTATTATTCTTTGTTTCTTTGGATATGTTATTGATATTATGATTACTACTCTTGGTTCTATGCTTTTATGATTGTCTTATTGGTTTGAGCTATGATGTGCCATTTACTAACTTTGAGATTTCACTATTATTTAAAAATTCTATTTCAGTGGTTTTGTTTACTCTGTTAACTTCTTTAAACATGGATGGAATTTTTATTCAACCGTTTAATGAAAGTTAAACTTGTATTTGAGCTTCATCTCATGGGTACCATTTATCTTGGTCGCCTTATTAGTTTGCCTCAACGAATTGTTCCTCACTTTTAAGGTATAACTTCAATAAATTTGGATGAATTCTCTCTGCTGTTGAGATCATATTTTGTATTATTCATTTCTTCCTTTTCATTTTGTTTTGTATTAATAGTTTTGATTGTTTGTGTTGTTTTTGGTTTTGGTCTTCCTTTTTTGTTCTTATGTTCTATTACTGCCTTTAAATTTTTGGTAGTAGTTTCCTTTGTGCCCTTGTTTCTGCTCGAATTGGTTTTGCTAGTCTAAATACTGATTCAAGTAGTTGCCATTCTCTTGTTTTTCTGAGTTTTATGTTGAGAATGCTATTTGAATTCTTGCCCATTGGCTGTTATCTGGTAGCTAATTTGCAAATACATTGTTGTTCTGAGAAAATGCTATTTTGGGGCACTTCATTTTAAAGATTGGTTGCTGATGCTGTTTATAGCAGAAGCCACTGCTTTTCCTTCTGTGTTCTAAGTGATCCTCCTCAATTGGACCTATGGAGTTTTTCTGCTTCTTGAATCTTGTGTTTTTTTTATCCCTTTTGGATCTTTTGGATGTTTTGAGGTTTGTTTATTGTCATTTTGCTCTTTAGTGTGATGTTGTTAGGTTATTTGTCAGGGGTTAGTGTGGCTTTTCCTTCCCATGTAATTCTATTTGTTATTGTTCTGTATTGTATGATAATGTTAGTTTTGTTTGTCTTGTACTTCTGTTTTCTGTTTAATATAGTTGGGTGAGATTCTCACTTTTCCTTTAAAAAAAATAAGAAAAGACCATTGTTATGAAAAATGCTGCAACCTTTAATTTCAAGATTTGGGCTCAATGATTCCATGTGAAACCTCACAAACAGTGCTAGCACTGAAAAGGTAACTACAAACTTATGCTTTCAAATGAAAACAAATAGTAAGAAGTACATGTGAAGAAATGAAAATAAGAATGACCATTTAATCAATTTCAACATACAATATCATGATGAGTATAGCCATAGGTAACTGCATAATTTAATGTATTTCCACTTTCTTCAAAAGAATACAACAACAACAACAACAACAACAACAAAGCCTTAATCCCTTAATCCCACTACAATCCCACTACGTGCGGTCGGCTACATGAATCATTTTTCTCCATTGCGTCCTATTTAGAGTCATATTTTCATAAGAATGAATAAATAACAGTGGGAAATATATTTTCTTTGGGCCCTTGAGATTCATAACTTTGTTTCCAACAAAAATGAGAAAATAAATAAGCATTCTTCCTTTGCCATGCATTTATTGATGGAGAAGAACACAAATACATAAATTTCAGCCAATGAACTCAAAACAATTGGCAGCTTCATACATCAATCAAGCCTTAAGAAGGCTTCCAATTAATTAGAAAGAATGATTCCATCACCTATTTAAAAATAATTAAAATTGAAAGTGAAAAAAAAATAAGAAGAAAAAAACTATTTGCAACTTACACCACAACAAACTGCAGATAAGAAGTAATAGGAGAGAATTCCACTGATGCCGCTGAGAATTTTTAAGCCCAAAGAAGTCCTTCAAATCCTATCTCTGAGTTGGAAACTGGACTATCTCCAATTTCTTCATATGGCAATTGATTATCTTCAATGTCAATATATGGCTCCAACAAATCAGCAGATCTTTCGCTTGGAATTCCGTAGCCCTTCAGAATAGACATAGAGGCAGCAATGGCAGCTTCTCGGTCCAAAACAGCGAGAAAGTTTTCCTCGAATTCGAACACCAAGTACTTTCCTTTGCAAGCTACATATATATATATATATATATATGAAGGGGAATTTACATATATACCATCTAATTTCTATGTACTTACATATCTAACACGAAAACTTTGCTTTTACGAATCTTTCATAACACCTTAAAAGTTTAGTTGTTAGATATGCAGATACGTATAAATTGAGTGGTATGCATGTAAATCGTCCATATATGAAATACCAAGAAAAGCTTAATACAGAGAATGAGTTTGTTAGTACTTTTTCTTTGAAGTTAGCGAACTTACTGTCAACAAGATGAGCAAGGTGTCTGATATTTTTTATGCGAGTTCCATTGAACTTTAGAACCTACAATCAATTATAAAGTGAATATCAACTAAAAATATACCTATATCATTATTAAAGTAAATAGTTCAAAATTGGGGCATTTACATACATACCACTCAAGTTTTATGTATTTACAAATATAACACTTAAATTTTAACTTTTTACATTCGTACCACCCAACTCTTTCATATCACAAAAAAATACCACTATTTTAACTTTTCAAAAGTGAATACCTTATTATGCAATCGATAAGGTGGTCTATATTGTAAAAATTGAAGTTTAGGAGTTATATATGTAAATACATAAGACTTGAGTGGTATGTATGTAAATCTTCCTAGTTTCAAATACTTGTTGATTGGCCATGTCCTCATAACCGATGTTCACGTCATTAGCTAAAACCTGATATCATAAATATAAAATGAATATATCAGCAAATGCCAGCACATACGTGAAAAAGGTAATTGCTGGTAATGAAAATTTGCAGAAATATGCATGATTCCACTAAAGAACAGATTCAAATTCGGGGATAATTTTAACATGTGCCAAGCTGATCATGAATCCCAATAATGCCAAAATATGCAAGTACACAATACCATATTCTAACATGATCATGTTTGTTTTTATAATTTTGATTATTTATTATTTTTTACATCATAATGTTTTATAATAATGCATTACTTTAGATTTATCATGTCTTCTATAAATAGGCTTGAATGAAGAAAATATTCATTTACAAAATATAATATTTTTTAAAAATATGTAACACTTGTATCGATGATACTAACATTAAATACTTTTAAAATTATTTTATATTTTACTAAAAGGATTAATTATACTGTGAAAAATTATTTCATTGTAATTCTTGTGGTTACTAAAATTTTTTCTTAAGAATTATTAACCATTATGTAAAGTTTTTTTTTTATTATTATTATTGTGAAAAATTATTTCATTGTAATTCTTGTGGTTACTAAAATTTTTTCTTAAGAATAATTAACCATTATGTAAAGTTTTTTTTTTATTATTATTATTGTGAAAAATTATTTCATTGTAATTCTTGTGGTTACTAAAATTTTTTCTTAAGAATTATTAACCATTATGTAAAGTTTTTTTTTTATTATTATTATTGAAGAAATTGAGCGCCAAAGCAAAAATCACACACGTGTCAATTCCTGATCCAAAGACATCTTAAATTAGCTAACCTGAGAAAGAATCACAATTTGCTCTCCATTAAAACTTGCTAAGGAATAGCGAGCCTTGGCCAACAATTTCAGCTGAAAAAACAAAAACAAAAAGCGCTCATCACATAACCAAAGTTTCCACAAACAAAATGTTTAAATTATAATGAAACTTTGTAAAATAGAGTAACAATCAAATAACTTACCCCTATGGAATCTTCACACTCCTCCCTGTATTTAGTTCAGCTATTACAACTCAAACTGTCTAAAACTGCTCATGTATAGTAATTAGATTCATTCAGAATGGATTTAACTTACTCTATCAGAGGTTCGGAGAGTGGAGTGAATACCAGACCAGCAATAATCAGATAAGAAGGCTGCCCTCCTTCAACATTATATGGTACCTGTTTAGAAAGCGATATTAACAGAGGCATTTACATGCATAGCACAAAATTCCCATATATTTACATATCTAACAACTAAACTTTACCTTTTTACATTTATACAACCCAAATCTTTCATATCACAGAAAAAAACCCACTATTTTAACTTTAAAAAAGTGAAATACACCTTCTCAAGAATAGGTAAGGTGGCATATATGTAAAAATTGAAGTTTTGGTGTTAGATATGTAAATACATAAGAACTGAGTGGTATGTATGTAAATTTTCGTTTATAATAATAGAAAACTGCACTGTTCCATGACTTAAAAGGTTTAAACGTCCAACTCCAAATCATGCACAGACCAATAGGAGAGATTTCTTACTAAATGAACCCGAGGTTGTAGGACTGTCTTAACATCTGTATATGCACCTTCCCTGATGACTCCCAGCTCTGCGGTATCACCTGAAAATCTAAATTTGAGCATAAATAAAAAAAAAATCAGCATCAGAACTTGTAAGAGAAAATAAAAACAGCATATTGGCATAAAATTCACGCAACATTCAAGCAGATTTAAACTAATATATATATATTATATATATATATATATTGGGAGTATAAAAAGTAAAAGCGGAATGTACATACAAACCACAAAATTCTTATGTATTTAAATATCTAACACCTAAACATTCATATTTACAAGTATACCAATTAAATCTTTAACATCACATCTAAGATATGATACATTCAAGTTTAGGACCTCAAGGTGTTAATAAGTGTAAATGTCAAACTTTGGGCATTTATATGTAAATACATGAGAATTGTGTGGCATGTACGTAAATTTCTTAAAGTGAAAAACTGAACAAAATTACTCTATTACAAAAAATATTCACGTGCCAAATTTAGCTTGTAAATTATAAACCAATTCACAAATATTAAATGCATACATAATAAGCTGGCCATGGAGGATTCAAGAAAAAATATATTCGGGTAAAAAAAATTAATATAATTTTCTTTCAAAATGATAGCAGAATTTAGATAAAGAGAAAAATGAAAAGGGTTTTTACTTTTGACTTATAAGGTAGCGGAAAGCAATTCTCTCTGTAGACCGAAAAGGGACAGTTCCTTCACACCCAACTGGTACACCATCAAAGCTTACAATCACATCTCCCTGAAATTTTTGAATATGTTGATCTAATTGATAAGTGACATGTTTGGGGTCAAACCAAGATGAACGTCGAACATGATAGAAAATTTTTTAGTTGAAAACTTTACCTAATAAATAAAATTGATAATCATTTTAAACAAATGAATAATGCCAAGATGTGATCAAATGTTTTAATACCATGAAGTGTCAAAAAAGTCAGAAGAAAATCTCCTAAAATTATACCACATTTTTTGCAGATTGTGTCTAGTTTAGAAAATTGTAATTGATTGAGAAAAGTGATATTGTGATTACGTTATTTATGAAGAACAAGAACTCGAAGAAAGATATATAAAACAATATGCCCTGGGAAAATCCTACAATTATAACGAGAAACTCAATTTTAATAAATAAAGCAAATGATTCATAAGTCTAGCGTTTATAGAATTGCTAGTAAAGTTAAGACATAGTTTTTACACAATCACCTGTTTTAAAAAGAAAACAATTTATATTACTGAGTCTTAAGATTAATTGATAATAATGATGAATGATAAAACACCAATTTGTAGACATTTACATGTTATGCTTTATCTTGATACAAGTTAATACAGATTGGTTAAAAACACATGCATAATAATGTTTAATCATTTTAAATAAGTTTATAATAATGCCAAGAAGAAAAAAATCCATGAAAGGTTATAACATGTGAGATATGTTTGCAAATGATTATCTCAACATGGAGAAACGAAAGGCATGAAGAGATAAACTTCAATAGTAACTGAAAGCACAATTTTGACTCTTTATTCAAAAACGTTGGTATGTTGCAATCTGAGCTTGAATTGAGAGGTTATTGATAAATAATTAGCTGACAAACTAGGTAATGACCTAATGATATGAACATGCTAAAGTCCATAGAGACATTATATAACTCTGCAGACTATGAATAGTAAAAGAATAACAAAAAAAATGAAAGAAAAAGTTATTTCAAAACAGCAATTGACGATTTTAATGCATTAAATGTTGATTTTTGAAAGATGCATTTTATCCATTTGCATATAAACATAACTGCGATTAGCTTTTATTTATGTAATAATAAAAATTCGTCCTGCTTTAAATTTGATGGACTAGATTAGTCCTATTTATAATAACTAATGCTCATGTTAGTTAAAAAAGTCAGCATGCATATTGATATGAAGTTATTTCAAAACAGCAATTGACGATTTTAATGCATTAAATGTTGATTTTTGAAAGATGCATTTTATCCATTTGCATATAAACATAACTGCGATTAGCTTTTATTTATGTAATAATAAAAATTCGTCCTGCTTTAAATTTGATGGACTAGATTAGTCCTATTTATAATAACTAATGCTCATGTTAGTTAAAAAAGTCAGCATGCATATTGATATGAATAAAGATGTGCAATATTCCAACACGTTAATTCATGTTATTGCTTATTTTATGACGAAATAACATTTGGGAAAGATATTTTTGTCGTGTTGTGCAGGTTTCAGGATACAAGTCACTTGGAGGAGAAAAAGATGTAAAATGGGAGCAAAAAGAGGAAAAAAAAAACTGGTGCACCCACGCTAATGATGCCAAAAGGGAGCACACCCCCGCCTAGTCCAAGAGCACCCGTGCCAGGACCAAATCCAGGACAGCCGCAAGACGGAACGGGCAGCATACCCTCGCCCCCGCTCCTCATAGGCAGGTATAGGATCGGTGCATTCGCCATGTACCTGGCGCACCGGCGCCTGCTGCAGAAATGGATAGCACACCTGTACCGCCTTCGCAACGCACCAACACTGAACCCATTGTAGGCACAACGCACCTCGCCACACACGGGCACGGGCATGCCCAATACACAGATTACAAATTTGAAAAGATTAAGCCTTGGCTGTAAATACATGTCTTGAACTGATGGGAGACATCTTTGGACGGATTAACGTTAGGTTTTCTGGGAGAAGAGAGTTTCTTTGAGTGCCCTAGAGATTTCTCTTCCTCCCAGAAGGGAGAAGCCCTGAGGGTAATGTCTTTGTTTTTTCTTGCTGCTTTGAGAGGGATTTATAAGCGAGGGTTTGTTGCATGTTCATTGTAAGGCGAGGGCCACTGCTATGGTGGAGAGGAAAACTGGTCGTAAGTTGTATTTTCATTTATGTATTGGTTTTCAATGCTTTCAATGACTTGTTTTTGATTTTTCGCTTGCATGTCTTGTAGCTAAATTTCTTTTGTGCATTTGTGATATTAGGATATTTGTTTTTCGTGGTTTTTCTGCATGTGACTTCCACGTAACATTTTTAGTCTTTTATTGTATGCAAGTTATTGGGTTAAATTTTTAAACATCCTTTAGTCCTAATATGGCCCGTTAGGAAGTTAAAACTATTTGTGATCTAGGACTTCTACCCGTTGCCTAATAGAACGAATAAGTTAACTCACAAAAACTTAGTGAAAACATTTTGTCTTTAGAGTTTTGTAACCTAAATAAGAGATTTGAAGAATCCTAAAAAACACTACATGGTCAAGGGTTAGCATAACTGTAATATCATTTCTGATTCTTCTTATGACCTAAGCATAAGCTAAAAAGAACTATTATCACTAGTTGACAAATATCATGTAGAAGAATCAATAAAAAACTACAAAAAACACACTCCAGTTGAATCATGTAATATTTTCCTAAAAATTCACATCTTCTCTGCTCATGAAAAACCTTTAACCCTCTATTTGAGGCTACTCCTATGGGTGGATATATAGGCTTAACTCTCCCTAACCTCATTAGAGGTCACCGCTAAATGAAAAGCAGATGCTTCCTCAATCATCGTCTAACAAAACTAATCCACAATGGCTTGCTCTTCAGGGTCCAATTCCTCTGATTCTAATGATTGGCTATTGACAACCCCTACCACTACTTCTACACTCTGGCATTGATCAATCCTAGAGGCCTGGGAAAACTTTATTGATTTTAACACATCCAATTTAACCTCCGATCATTCACTCTCGAAGTTAATTTCCAATTCTGAACATCAATCATTTCCCCTCTTATGGCTAAGAATGGTCGCCCAAGAATCATGTGTATTTCCTTGTCCTCCTCCATGTAGAGTATCACAAAATCGTTTGAGAATATGAATTTCTCCGCCTTAAGCAATACATCCTCTATTATTCTTTTTGGTAAGGTCAAGGCTTGGTTCGCTAATTGAATATGAAAGACAACATGAGATTTATGTTGGCTCAGAAGTTATATAGAGCTTTCCTGACAAACTTCTTTCTTATGTCACAATGGATGGTAAAGCTACCCATGTCTTTCAATTTGCTAGGCAACTTCCTCTGCAGGATGACACTACACTCCTCTGTCAAGGCAAGTGTCTCATCGGCTCTTGACTTAACCTTCTTATCCAAGACACCTTCACAAACCAACATAACTCAACATCCATTCTAGGGCTTTAACATAAGACTCATTGTTGGTGAGTTTATTAAAAACTTCTAAATACTCAGACATCTGTTGGTCATTAGGTTTCTGGAGTCATTGGGGGAAGGGTAGTGGTGGTTTCTCATCGGCTCTTGTCTTAACCTTCTTATCCAAGACAACCTTCACAAGCCCACATAACTTAGCATCCATTCTAGGGCATTAGCATAAGACACATTGTTGGTGAGTTTATTAAAAACATCTAAATACTCAGACATCAGTTGGTCCTTCTTAGGTTTCTGGAGTCATTGGGGAAAGGGTGGTGGTGGTCTCTCATATTCTATCCTATGATGTGAGGTAGATTTTCTCAAGTTAGGCTCAACACATTTGCTCTCACTCCTATGGTTTTCATCCCCCTCCACCACTCTCACTCTAATGGCCTTACACTGCTTGGGGTTCTGATCTTTTGGATTTACTTCAATGTTACAAAGAAGCGTCCATTAGGTCAATTATCATTAAAATTTGCCAGTTGTCCTCAAATGGCTACATCTTGGCTCTGCATTTAGTTTCCTAGTTATAACCAAATCTCTTCTAAAGAAGATTTTTTATCCTTAAACTGGGTATTTTAACTGAATCTGAGGGCTTAGTTTGGTCTCAAGTTTGGGTTCCCTTGATAGCTCTAATTACCTACAGAGGGATTTGCTTGTTGTACCCCCACTGTTGGTTTTCTACCACTTGATTGTTATTATTACACCGAAATGTGGGGTGGCTCTTCCATCCCAGGTTGTAGGAATTGGAGTAAGAGTTGTGGAGTTGCTTTCCTACGACATTTATTGTCTCTAAAGCCAACATGTTAGGATCTCCTGCTAGCCCAAACATCATACCCTCAATTGGTAGGGATCCTTGCAATGAAATCACCCCAAAACTACTTGTGCAGCTAGGATGGACATAATGTCAGTATCGTGCACACTAGCTACCTTATGGGGGTGACTCTCTCAGAAGGTCATTGAAAGTTATTGGTGGTTATTTCCTCTATCAAATCATATGCCTCCTCAAAAGGTTTGAACATCAGGGATCCTCTAGTTGCAGTATCTATAATGGACCTTAATGAACTTACCAATCAATTATAAAAAATTTGGATAATTAGCCAGTAGGGCAAGACATGATGTGAACACCTCCTAAGCAACCCATTAAATCTCTCTTAAGCCTCATAAATTGAATCTTCATCTATCTGATTAAATAAGACGCCATTCCTAACTTTGACAGTCATATATGGAAGAATGTATTTGGCCATGAACTTGTGTAAGGTAATTCAAACTGGTATTGGATATTGGGGCTAGGGAGTTCAACCACACCTCGACTTTGTCCCTCAAATAAAAAGAAAAAGGCCTTAGTCTAACGATATCACTGAGGTCACCATTATACCTGAACGTGACGGTTCTAGGAAGTTTGTTGGGTGAAGGCTAGGGTCTTTCGCAAGTGATCTCCCAAACTGGTTAGTTTGTACTATTTGGATATTGGCTGGTCTAAGCTCAAAGGTGTTGGCTTCTACAACATGGTAGTTTATGCTCTGTAAGTGTGCTCTTCTAAGTCGTCTAAAGGTCTGCTTAATCTCAGGGTCAACTGGTGCAAGGTCGGCTTCAGCAATCCTATGCATACACTAAGGTAAGTGAACAAGTGATCTTAATCTAAAGATGCACAACAACACTCTCAACAAGCAAGAAAATAAATAACAAAAAAGAAAACATAGAAAAATATTTTTTGCTTTTTTGGTTTTCTTATTTTTTTTACTTTTTAGCTTTTTATCGCCTGCAATAAAAACATAAAAAACAATAATGCAAGCGTCATATATTAAAAAGGAAAAAAACAAAAAAATAGAAAATGCCAAACCTATAATTTAAGCGATTCAACTACAGTTTTCCTAAATTCAAAATATTTCTTACCGCCTTCTGCGACAATGATGTTAAAATCTTGATGGTTGAAAAGTTACTGTGAGGAAAGTGGACAAATAAGCGAGTATACGTGTCAAGTAATATGCTATTTTACGAATATACGTGTATATATCATGAGAAAAGGGTAAAGATCAATTTTGTTAGGTGAATCTCTAGTTACTAACTCACGAGACCAAGTTTGACGTGATCACAACTGCAAGATCCAAATCCTAAAATCTTAAGCGAATCATAAAAAAAAAAAAAACAAAAACAAAATCAAGAAACACCGGAGGAACTACATTGAAGTTTTTCAGAGGATAAAAGGCTCGAGCTTCAGTGAATCAGGTGTAGTGTATTTTTGTGGTTTTCCAAGTGATTCCCTTGCGTGATAATTGTCGACCAAGAAGAATAATTCTTCTTAGCTTACGTTTAGGTCATAAAAAAAAAACCAGAAATCATATTGTAGTTAAGTTGTGTTTAACCAAGCAACGTTTCTCAATATTATTCAGATTTCCGACCTAGGTTCAAAAACCCTAATGACAGTTTGTCTATAAGTTTTTTTGTGGGCAAACTTAGTCAATCCACTCGGCAATGGGCAAAAGTCCTACATCACGAAAAGTTTTAACTTCTTAGTAGTCAAGATTATGAGTAAATAAAATTTACAAAATTAACACAACAACTTGCACTTGCATATAGTAAGGGTCAATTTGAGATCACTTTCTATTTTCTAGTGTTTGATTTTTATTCTTTTTTTTTTTTTTTTTTAAACGGATTTGCTATTGTTATGATTTATATGTTTTTAAAAATAAAAAATAAAAAACATATTTGATTGGATTCTTTTTATATTTTTAAGGAAAAACTGTATTTTTTATGAAACGTTCTCTGTCATCCATGACGTATTCGACGTCTTCCTTGCTCCACCCTACGCGAAGCATTACTTGTGGGTGGGCGGCGGCGGTGGCGGCAATGAGCGGTAAGCGGAGCGGCACGGGTACGTATCGGTGGCCGAGGAGGGTGGGCGGCCAGCGCGCGGCGGTCGGGGTAGGCGGCTGGACTTACTGTTTTTGATGTTTTAAAAACAGATAAAAACATTTTTTTTTCTGTTTTGAGTACTTTAAAAACAGTAGTGTTCTTTCAAAATATTAAAAACAGAAATAAAACAAAAAACAGATAAACAAACACTATTTTTTTTTGTTTATTTCTTATTTTTAGTTTTCAAAAATAAAAAAACAAAAACAAAAAAATTTAATCCAAACAGCTCCTAAAAGCGTAGAAAATGTTACAGGCAATCTACGGAGGAAAATCATGAAAAATAGCTATCATAACATCACAAATACACGAAGGAAATTTAGTTACGAGATATGCGAGAGAAAAATAAAAAACGGGTCATTGCAATTGTTGAAAATCAATACAGAGATGAAAGTAAAACTTACAACCAATCTTTATCTTCACTACAACAGTGATCCTCGCCTTAAAATGAACACACTCCAATAATAATCTCACTCACATTAGCTACAATACCTCTCTTACAAATCCCTCTCAAAAACAGCAAGAAAACATACAGAAATCACCCTAAGGGCTTCTCCCTTCAAGGAACAAGAGAATTACTTTGCTCATCTATTACAAGTAATAGGTAAGTTTGAATCATCTATGACAATTGCTTATCCCTTCAAAATTTTAGCACATCAGATATTAGATTGATTAATTTCTAATAAAGGTAAAAGAGCATACAGGTCAATAATCAAGTTAGATACTTTGATCTTATCTTAAAGTTTTAAGTGTGGAAGTTTTGAATATAATAAACAAGAAGAATGCATATGGTGTAAATTAAAAACTACTTCTTGTGCATAATAAATTTTCATAGGAGCTATGTGCAGTTATGTCGATGATTTAAATTGTGAATGTTTTGGTATTAATAAATCTAATGAATCTATTTGAATGATTATAAAAGTGGTGTTGTATTCTGTGACAATTTAAATCGACTTACATTTTAATCATTCAATCCACTATGAAAGATATTCATGAAAAATGTGTCTAAATGAATTTTCCGCCTCTTTTATGTCTTATACTTGACTGAGAGGGGTCAAAATAGGGCATGATGGAAAAAATGCATTAATTGATACAAGATATTTATAGCTTAGAGTTTTCTCTACTACAAATCTACGATGGAATGTACAAAAACCACAAAAGGATCAAATATACAATCCAACATTTCTTAATTTTGGTAAATTTAAACACTTAAATATTGCTTCAACTAATAATCTAAAATATTTCAAATTAAAGCTATGCAAAAAATATAATATCAAATTAAAATTATATAGCAATTAAGATTCAGACTGTTAAGAAGAAATTTTGAATTTTCAAGTACTAATAACAGTTTATTGTCGGCAGTTTTATTGTCATATAGATTAAAATTTGAATGCTATAATGTAGGTATTAATGCTTATCAAACGCTTATGTGATTGACCAGTCTCCAAAATATCATTGAGGTAAACTATGAATTAATTTACCTTAGAAAGTACATTACCGAGTACTTTGCATGTGAAACATTAAGATTTCAGAATATTTTCATCACAATTATTATTCCATGCGTGCTACTTAAATTTGTAAACCTCATCAGAGAAACATATGGTCCTTAATTTGATTCAGATTCATGCTGCGCACATACACCATTACTAATTATACCCATTTATCTTTTTTCTCGTTTTGGTTTTCTCATTTGACCTTAAGGAAAAAAAAAACATTTAATACTAAATGCAGAGTAATCAATAGACAGGTGAACAGATTGAAATCATGAAGTGAAAGCAATGAAAATATAGATGCTTTTAATGTTATAATTTAATACTGGGAAAATAAAAGGAAAACAAGCATCAAAATAAACAAAATGACCAAAAAATTAAAACCATAATATGTGAGACTGCATCGAGAAGTACCTCTTTGAGAAAACCATGTGCTGGTGAGGTGGGTTCAACTATACGAACCAAAACACCCTTGACAATAGAAGCATGCAGAAAATGAAAACCCTATATTAGGCTATACATGTTTTACTGGATGAAAAATATGTAGAGAAGGAAAAACATTCCAAATATGTTTTTTCATCGACTGCAAAAGATAGCCAAAACAAAATGAAATAAAGTTCCATGCTATAAGTTTAATCAAGTATAAACTAGCATAGTAAAACTATGACAAAACCACATCCACAATTATTTCTAGTGTCAATGTTTGAATATCATATATTCTACAAAAATGGGCAAGCAAATCAGAAATAATAGATATTGTTGCAGAAAAAACAAATCTATTCTTACAACCACAAAATAAGGAAACTCCATTAATCTTCACATTTGAATAATTCAAAGCTTAAAAAAGCACTTTTTACCACGCTCAAAGAAGCTTCAAGAATATGCATGTGTATTGCTGCAAACTAGAATTTTTCCCACGGGAAACAATGTAAAATGATTAACCAAATGAAAATTACTTTCTCAAGCGGAGAAATACTACTCATTCAGGTATATGCAAGTAATTTTAGCACAGTATATTGGCTATACACACTTTAAATGCGTAGTGTTGAAGCCTCCTCAGAGATGAACAAATATTGTTTTCAGCTATCTGAGCATCCACAATTGTTTATTAGTCACATACTATTTCAACAGCCTCAACAAATATATTGTAAGCGATATAGCATGGAGAAAAGAAAACATGCACATCCCTAAAAAAAGCGTGCAATAATGAGTGTGCTCTCAAAAAAAAAAAAAAATGAACCCAAATCAAATTTAGTCAAACTGCATGCTAAATTGAACAAAATGTGCCATAAATTATCTCGGACGCATTTCAAGAAACCTGCCACTAAACCACGTGCCAAACCAAAAAAACATGCATGCTAAAGAGCATACAAAGCATCCCGATGGAAAACACACAAAGCGATACATGAAAAATATATACAAAAGCCTCAAATGTAAAATTACATACATAATTCGACATAAATGGCTTCACGAACAAGCACCCCCCAAAAAAAAAAATCATAACTCATAGTTCTATACACACTCATCGGAAAAGATGATCTAAAATCAAAACATTTCAACCACTTTAAAAAGCATGCTAGCTCATCATATGATTTAGGATGCATCTGTTTCGACTTTTCAGCCCGCTTTAAAATTGACTTCTCGAATAATGTGTTTGATTCGCGCTTCCCACATATTGCGTTACAAACTGTAGCACGGTGTTCATGTATTCACAGTCATTCTCAGACCGTAGATTTTAATACAAGCGGAGAACTGAGTTTCAATATATGCTAAAAAGGTTTGAAATACAGTAAATATTTCTGATTTGGAACGCAAAAAATAAATCAAAGTAAATTGAATGTAATCATCAATAAATGCCACGAAATATATATTGAGCATGTGAAATAACTGGTGCAATTCCCCAAACATCACTACGAATAATGTCAAAACATTTATTGGCACGATTGTCTAAAATAGGAAAAGGTAATGTCTTAATTTTTTCAAGTTTACAAACAGAACAGTCTAACTACTAAACTCTTATCTGTAGAATAAAAAACATCACTTTTAAGTAAATGCTTAAACACCATGTTATTTGAATGACCTAGTCAGGAAATTATCAACAACTGAAGAAGCTAATGACATATTTCAAGAAACAGGAAATTGTAATGGAAACAGTTTGCCAACTTTAGGCCCCTTCGCTATCACCTTCCTCAAGACCTTATCCTGCACAATACAACCATCACGAGACTAATGTGTGTCATAATTATTATCCACAACTTGACCAATAGAAAGTAAGTTAGTAGATAATTTAGGAGAAACTGAGACATGTCTGAAAGAGAAGTTAATATAACCAACTGTCATAATTGGATATTTCCATCAGCAACTAACTTGAATATGTTGAGTACCAGTGTACGACCGTTGGTTATACAATACATTAGTTGTGTTAGTCATATGATTTGTGGCGCCTGAATCAACAAACCAAAGGAAGGAACAAAAGTAATAGTTTTACCTTTTCCTTGAAAGCCGAGAGCAGAAAAAATAGAGAGAATCATCTGTTGAACCATATCTGGTGTGACAACTAATTGATTATTGTCAGCAGCTGTGGATGTCGAGCTAGGACTGTGAGTGTCGGACACAGTGTCATTAGTGCTTGTGGTTTGCAGTTTTGGGGTCGTGTAGGACACTCCGGGGGCCGTGCAGGGCACTCCGTAATAATGGCCCTTATCTTTGCAATAAGAACAACACTTATTTTTACAATTTCGTGCAATATGACCAAATTTCTTACAGTTGTAGCACTGCACTGGTCCATTCCATTTGGTCCGAACAGCATATGTCATATTAATTATTTCTGATGATCCACCTGTTGATGATCCACCTGTTGTACTACCTGTTGTACTAATAGCAGCTTGTGTTGTCAATCTTTGTTCTTCGCGCAGTAATTCACCAAAATAGATATACAAACAAGGAACCGGATCTCTGTTCAGCAACCCAACCCGAGCAATTTCAAATTCAGGTCTGCGCTTCATTAAAAACTGATCACGTCGACTTTCTTTATGAATAGACTGAATATTAGCTAAATTCTCTTTTGACACCTTAACATAGATAATATCAGTATATTCGCTCCATAAATTTACAAAACCAGAATAATATTGTCCAATTAAAAGATTACCCTGAATATAATTACTCATATCAAGTTCTTAAAGTATTTCGCAGTATTCTCTTGATTGTAAACGCACTTCAAGTATTCCCATATTTCTTTAGTCGTGCCAAAGGATGGTAGATTGTTCACCATATGAGCCTCAATAAATCCCAAGATCCAACAAACAATCCGAGCATCATTTGCTTCCCATTGACAAAGACCTTTTGCTCAGTAGGAGCTGGATAAGACTCATAAATATGGTCTCAAAGCTCCTTCCCTTTTAAGAACATTCTGAGAAGAAATTCTCATGTGGCATAATTCTTTCTCATAAATTTGATAGCAAAGATTTCAAAAGACATCCTAAATAAAATTGTCGTTCACAAATTGATTAAGAAGGTCGTTGATCGAAATCAACCAAAAATCAAAGAAAGCCAGGATATCCAAAAAAAATTCAAATCCTTGATCTAAATCAACCTACAATATTCAAAAAATCGGACACTGCCTTAAATTAGGAGAGAGTTTAAAGCCGAAGCTGAAGCCAACAAACCTTGAGTGCGACGATCTAGGAAGTATATTGGTGTTGAAATACGCCGACTATACTGAAGTCGAAGATACAATCGATGCTACCGAAGTAGAAGCAAAAGCGGGCAAAGTGAACGAGAACAGACGTGGTCAAGGCAATTGAAGCGGACGAAGAGATCGAGTGAAGCAGACGAGCGTTTCACAGGACGAGCAGAGCAGACAGGCGGAGAGGCGAAGCAGTCGAGCTCTTCAGGCAAAGCAGATGATGGTTTAGACGAACCAGAAGAGCAATCTGGCGAGACTCAAAGATTTGCAGTTGAACGATTGCAATCTTAAAAACTCTAAAGATTCAGACCCTAAATATTCGAGTGGCTCTAATACCATGTCAATATTTTGAGCAAATAGGCTAAATGTCTTTTCCTTTGCTTTCATTCCAATAAATAACAGTTTGTACAATCTACTTTAGATACATAATAAAGTGCTCAATCTAATTTCAGTAGCTTAATAATATATATTTCTAATTAAAATATTTAGCTAGAAGAAAAGAATTCGTGCAAATATAATATTTCCTTCTTTGCAGCATTGAAAAGAAGAAAAATCTTTATTCTATCTGATTTTATTTACTCCTTATTGAATTAGAAATTAGAAAAATCTTTTTTCTATGCACCGTATCTTAGCTTTATAGTCTTGACCAAGGTTTCTCGTTTTTACCAAAGGAGCAATAGAGTTTGTATTTGGGAAGTGACATCATTCTAGAAATTTTAGAAGGTGTGAAGAGCACGAGAAAGAGATAGGTAAGTTGTAGGATGCGTAACAAAAGCGGTAGGAATGATGTAGACTGAAATCCGACGTAAACGGCAGCTGGAAAGATAGCCTGACCGTGGAAACCAGCAGTTTTCTGCTGTCAACAGCAATTAGCAGCAGGTTCAACAACAAAGCTGGCCTTCGAACATCCAGCTAAGATCACCACCTCAATCCGATCAGGTTACACACACACAATCTGAGAGAATATAAGGGCACAACGCTCCAATAGAGAAAAAAACATGGAGAAAACATCTCCAAATAACATAAAACCAAACAAAAGTCTTCCAAAACCAGGTTCTAAGACGCCTACTTATACTAGGCAATAATTAAACCATAATTCTAGTTAGACTAATGTAGAAAATAAAATACTGCAAAAACTTTCCTGAATCTCATTCACATCTTTGTACAAGAGAAAGGATATATATATAGAACTCCCAGAGACATTAAAAAATAGGAATAAATAAAAAAATGATGGAAAAATAATTAGGTGTTAGCGATCCTATAGGAAAGCACACGGATTACAATTTGAGGGTCATAGAGAAATATATCCAATGATATATAGCCACAATCCATGTGCTTTCGATTCTTTGTTATCTGAGAGTCACAAGTAAATAAGTCTCACAGCACAAAATCTCGATCCATGTTCACTTCTCTACTATGATTGGAGCAAAATTTCAACACTTGCTCTCAAAATGGATGGCACAGATCTACCAATCAAAATTTTCTTATGATATTTTAAATGTTGGGTTGCAAAGACCTTTGGTGAATATTAGCAATAGAGTTTCTATAGACACATATGTAGTGCAAATCAAACCGCTTTCCAATTTTTCTTTTATAAAGTGCATATCAACCCCAACATGCTTAGTATGATCATGTTGTACATAATTATTTGCAATATTGATGACCGATTTATTATCACAATATATTTACATAGACCTTTCAACTTAAATTTTAAATGATCTAATATAATCTTAACCCATAGAAGCGCACACATCCTTTGCACAATGACTCTAAACTTGGCTTTAAC